GCAGAACTCAGCTAAATGCTGCCGTGATGAAACTCCATATCATGTTCCAACCACATCAAGGATTCTCTCTGAAACAGTATGGAGCTCAAACTCTTTCTCTCTCTCAGGTTTACCACAAGGTGACTTCCTTTTGACTTCCTGCTTCTTCACACACACTCTCTCCAGTACAGGTTAGCTCTGAGTGTTAGCATGCTAACACAGACCATATTACAGAGAGGAGGTTGAAAACCTAACATCTTGGTGCCAGGATAACAACTTCCATCTCAACGTCAGCAAAACCAAGGAGCTGATTGTGGATTACAGGAAGCAGCAGGGAGAGGGACACGCCCCCATCGCCATCAATGGGGCTACGGTGGAGAGAGTCAGCAGCTTCAGGTTCCTTGGGGTCCACATCACTGAGGACCTGACATAGACTCATCACTGAGGACCTGACATGGACTCTTCACCGAGGACCTGACATGGACTCATCACTGAGGACCTGACATGTCATCACTGAGGACCTGACATGGACTCATCACTGAGGACCTGACATGGACTCATCACTGAGGACCTGACTCATCACTGAGGACCTGACATGGACTCATCACTGAGGACCTGACATGGACTCATCACTGAGGACCTCATGGACTCATCACTGAGGACCTGACATGGACTCATCACTGAGGACCTGACATGGACTCATCACTGAGGACCTGACTCATTGCTGAGGACCTGACATGGACTCATCACTGAGGACCTGACATGGACTCATCACTGAGGACCCGACATGGACTCATCACTGAGGACCTGACTCGTCACTGAGGACCTGACATGGACTCATCACTGAGGACCTGACTCATCACTGAGGACCTGACATGGACTCATCACTGAGGACCTGACATGGACTCATCACTGAGGACCTGACATGGACTCATCACTGAGGACCTGACTCATCACTGAGGACCTGACATGGACTCATCACTGAGGACCATGACTCATCACTGAGGACCTGACATGGACTCATCACTGAGGACCTGACTCATCACTGAGGACCTGACATGGACTCATCACACTAACACCATCACTAAAAAAGCTTGACAGCGGCTCTTGTTCCTCCGCAGGCTGAGGAGGTTCTAAATGGACTCCAGGATACTCTGCAACTTCTACAGGTGCTCCATAGAGAGCATCCTGACCTTCAGGTGCTCCATAGAGAGGATCCTGACCTACAGGTGCTCCATAGAGAGGATCCTGACCTTCTACAGGTGAGATCATAGAGAGCATCCTGACCTACAGGTGCACCATAGAGAGGATCCTGACCTTCAACAGGTGCTCCATAGAGAGCATCCTGACCTTCTACAGGTGCACCATAGAGAGCATCCTGACCTTCTACAGGTGCTCCATAGAGAGGATCCTGACCTACAGGTGCACCATAGAGAGCATCCTGGCCTACAGGTGCACCATAGAGAGGATCCTGACCTTCAGGTGCACCATAGAGAGCATCCTGACCTTCTACAGGTGCTCCATAGAGAGCATCCTGACCTACAGGTGCACCATAGAGAGCATCCTGACCTTCTACAGGTCAGAAGACTGTTAAACAACTGAACATTGAAACAACGTCCATAACATTAATCTGGCTGCTACTTAGAAATTAATTATCTATTTACCTAATATATCCTATTTCAATAACTGGCATATAACATCTTATTTCACTACTTCACTTTTTTAAACACTTTTTTTTTATATTTACTATTTACCTGCACTATATTGTTCTGCTTATCTGTATTTTGTGTTGCTCTGTTGGAAAAGCCTGTGACCTAAGATTTTCATCGGCAGAACTACACTGTAGCTATGTTCGTTTGACTAAATATAGAACCTTGAACCTTGAACCTATTACTTCCAGAACACGTCTCATTGTTTCTGACAGCAACGTTTCTGAAAGGCCCGTGGGTGTAAAGCCAGATAGCTGATCAAGACGTTAGCTGGTTAGCATGTTAGCTGGTTTAGCACGTTAGCTGGTTAGCTGGTTTAGCACGTTAGCTGGTTAGCTGGTTTAGCACGTTAGTTGGTTAGCTCAAATGTAGCACTTTATCTGGTTAGCACGATAGCTGGTTAGCAAGTTAGTTGGTTGGCTAGTTTAGCACGTTAGCTGGTTAGCTAAACTTCTAAACAAAAAGAGTCAAAAAAATATAAAATAAAATAAAATGTATGTAACACGCCAGCTTACCCTCTGTGAGCCCCATGTGGATGCTCCAGTAGTTCTGAAGGCACTGCAGCTCCTTCTTCATGCCCCTCTTGCAGCGACAGTCGTACAGCGTGGAGTCCCTCAGGACCTCCAGCGCCCCGCGGCACTCTCTGGATGCCAGCATGGTACTGCGCTCGCGGCCCCCCCCCGACAGGCACTGGCGCATGATGCGGAACTGAGAGCTGCACTGGGGCTTCTGGTTGCACAGCTCCGAAGCACGCACACAGTCCAGAGGCTCCGCCCACCCGGGGGGGGCGGGGTCACACACACACACACCTGCAACAACAAAGAGATACAGTAAACACACAAACACACACACCTGCAACAACACAGAGATACAGTACACACACGCACACACACACACACACACACACACACACACACACACACACACACACACACACACACACACACATCTGCAACAACACAAGAGAGTAGAATTGTCAAATGTATGTAACAATTATAAATATATATATTATAATTAAAGATATGAAATACAACAAATATAATAAGATATAAAAACAAGATATACATTATAAAAAAATACAAGAAAATATGTACAATAAAATATATAAATATATATAGAAAGAGACAAAAAAACAAAAAATATTAAATAAAATAAAATATTAGTGGAGATAAAGAAAAACGTATAAAGAACCTACGTAAAGTCAGAGAGCACTGTAATAGATGTGACTACATTAACTATAAATACAGCTATGTACATGTAGGACGTCTGTTAGAGAGAAACCTCTCTGGGACCCCTAACCCTCTTTATCTCCACCAGAGAAACACCACGGCTTTAACTCTCAGACAAAACCAATTGAATGCACACATCCGGTCTCTCAGAGGACAACATATACAAACCACTTTTAAAAAAAACTAAGTCTAATCAATGCTTTATCAGCCAAAAGGAAAGTCTGGTTGATTTCAATGTGCAGTGGTTAACATACTTGGGTCTATTGTGACATTTTAAGGACAAAATCCCACTTTGAGACATGTATAAAGTAACCATGGAACACACATGAACTACAAGAAGAAGAAAAACATTACAAAGTGACAGAAAAATGACCAACAATAGATAATATGACCAGAAATGTGACATCACAGCCAAATAGAGATCTGAAATAAACGTCAAAAAACAAACATTAAAAGACCAAAAAGAGACGCACAATGAATACAAATGTGTGTGAAATGGCCCAAAGGAGACGTGAAATTAGCAAAAGAGACATTAATGGCCAAAAAGACATAAAAGGACCAGAAATATATGCAAAATGACCAATAACAGAACAACGTGACCAAAAGGATATGTTAATGACCAAAATATGACACACAGGTGAAAGGGACAACTGATAGAAGAAATTAGTTATAGATCAGAGTGAAGCTTTTAGAATAATTGGAAGTTTCTCAAAGCTAATCATGAAGCGCATGATTATTATTATTATTATTATATTTCTATTTAATACTCAACAAATAGAGGATTTTAATCTTCCTGTTATACATTTGATGAGTTTCTATTTATGACCTGAAGTCTCAGAGTGAAGTAAACCTCTTAGTTCGGCTCGCCTCTGGTTTCAGGACCACGGACAGCAGCCTCAACAGAGAATACAACAACACTTTACAGGAGTCTAGAGTACTTTCACTCAAGTAGTGTAGTTTTTATTAAAGGTCCCCTATCATCCTCCTCTTCATCAATATATCACAGGTCTCAGATATATCCAGAGCCTGTCTTTGATTGGCTGAAACACCAAACAGATCATCGCAGCATCCCATAATCCCCTCTGTTTCAGCCCTGTTTCCAAAGTGCTGATTCTCTGTCTGTTACTTCAGATGAAAATAAGGAGCCCCTCCCCATGCCCCTCTGAGAAATATTTGGTTACAAAGAACTCAATGGAGCTCTAGGAGGAGATTCAGGTGATAAGGGGGTTACCTTGGTTGCTGATTGGCTAATGGTTACACAAGACAAAACATCGTTATGACATCATCAAGTGGCCAAAATCTGATCAGCTCATTTTCAGACAGGTTTTTATAGAAATGGATCAAAAAGAGAGAGAATCTTTGTTCCTGAAACTTTCAGTCTCTTTCCACAGAGGGGACACATGTTGATGTAGAAGAGACATGGAGAAGAGGGGACACATGTTGATGTAGAAGAGACATGGAGAAGAGGGGACACATGTTGATGTAGAAGAGACATGGAGAAGAGGGGACACATGTTGATGTAGAAGAGACATGGAGAAGAGGGGACACATGTTGATGTAGAAGAGACATGGAGAAGAGGGGACACATGTTGATGTAGAAGAGACATGGAGAAGAGGGGACACATGTTGATGTAGAAGAGACATGGAGAAGAGGGGACACATAAATGATGTAGAAGTTAGATATGAATAAGAGGGGACACATGTTGATGTAGAAGAGACATGAAGAAGAGGGGACACATGTTGGATGTAGAAGAAGACATGGAGTAAGTGGATT